TTCAAGAAGTTTTAGATTTGCGTGGTTTTCTTTGAGTTGCAAAATCCACTTGAACATGACGCTGCTTTTTTCGAAGTTTCTCAAGAACCATTCGATCCAGAGAATTCGTTTTGGCATCGTTGGATAGAGAATTAAAAGGGGGGGCTCATGACCCCCGGATCCCCCTCTTGCATCCGCCCTTGGGCTTAACATGTTGCAAGAATACTGCACCATAAAAAATCAATTCGTTAAAAAAGTCGACTTTTTAGATCTTTTTAGCTCGAAACGAAATCGACTGGACCTGCGGCGAAATTGATTTTTCAGACAGTTACTGGGCTCGAAAGTTTCTCAGCTTGACTTACCTCTTTTTCATCGTGAAGATTATGGATCTTTTGGACACCGTACGTAAATATTTGGGGATTTAGTATTGCTTTGAAACTAATGGGTTTTTCGGGTTTTTAGGCCGTCGTTAGGTAGAATTTCTTCCGTAGAATAAAGAATAAGGATGAAATTCTACCGAACGACGGCCTAACAACCCGAAGAACTCATTAGTTTCAAGGAATGGCCTCTTTTGATTAGTATTACGTTATTATGAAATACCGATACCACGATTTCCCGGAAATCCTGTTAGAACTGCGAATTTTCTTCAGATAGAAAACACATTTTTTGGTTCTTAGGTAAGTAAATGCTCTCTTTCCCATAGGTCTTTTTCGCGCTGCGAAAAAAAACCGCTCATATCAGTTTCCTCCATACTTACCATCACTTCGGAATGGTTGGACTCGGATGGTTGGGGGTAAAATTCCTCGGAGGAGGACATTCCTATTTTGTTGGCTTGGCTAATGCACCAGTGCACATGATTTTGTACTCGTATTACCTGCTGACGTCTTATAACAGCAAATATGGAAGAGTGTTATGGTTGAAGCGATTTATTACTCAGGCTCAATTGGTAAGTTTTGATTCATTTCCATCCGTGTTATTGATAGGGTATTAGATTGTCGGGTTGTTGGCTCTGAAGATGCCAACGATGCGGGCAAGCGAAACGTCCAACGACGACCCCGTCTAATAACCCCAACAGAACGGACGGAAGCTGAAAGTTTCATTGTTTTTCAAGGGTGGTTTTCTTGGGTTTTAGATTCAGTTCGCATTTTTAATTTGCATTTATGGGCAACTGTTCTTCCGAAGCAACTGCAACTATCCGAAGTTGGTGCCGTTTTTCTTTGTGCCGCAGAATATTTTCATGATCATTTTGTTTGGCGATTTCTACATTCACAACTACATTTTGAAGAAAAAAGGGCAAATTCCGGAGCAATCTGAGTCAGAAAAATTAAGTAAGATCATTCCAAAAGGGTTTACCATCAGTTATTTTATAAATCTTTACTTTTAGGCTTGTAGCATGTATCCCATGACTGAGGACCTAATAGATTAAAATRTTATTTTATATTTGCAAATGTTTTGGTTTTTGAAAATAAATTGATCACGTTGTTTTTGAATGAGTTTTTCAGTCACACTTTGCCATATTTTTAATTTTTTTGTTTGCTTGTGTGSTTTTTTTGCGTTGYTTCTTGTGGTTTTGCCGATGATTTTTTCAATTGACAAATGGWAGTTCACACGCTTATCCCCACAAAGGAGTATTAATAGTCGAAAAAAAAACTGAAAAATTACTTTGCATTCTCTTAAGCTAAAATTAGGGTAGATTYTGCATTTTTTTTCTTTTTTKGGGGGGATTTTTCAAGGGACAAACACCACAGAAGAATTGGAAAAACCATCGCAAAAGGCTATAACTMACTGAGCTTTTTTTTGAAAACTCAAATTGTAGTTCAATATGCTCGTTTCGGTTTTTCAGCCGTCCTCAGCTAAAATCGTCCAGTATGAAACTTGAATTGATGCAAATTTTAAAAACCTTCGATGCTTTTTGCTGCTTTTGTGTTGCTGCTGCTGTATTTTTTATGCAATTGATTTTCTGATCATTAGTTTTGTATTTGATTTGATGTAGACAATAACAAACCAGTTTAAAAATCGAAAATATGTGAATTTTAAGGCGCACAATCGCTTAATTTGAAGCCGATTTTCGGCCGAAATTTGCACTTTAATTGACCAAAAACCCAAGAATTTCGAATAATTTTAAATATATTAATGATAAAAAAGGTCCACAACGTAGACCAGACTGATTAGCTGTGGGAAAGTTGCCATTTCAGATTAAAAGTTTATCTGAATTCGAAAAATTTTATCGCTGTCTCTCGACTAATTCCCATACTTTCGTTTCCTGGATCTTTGGACTTTGGGATAACGCCGAAGTTATCTTAGGGCAAATATGTATTTTATTCCGGTTTATTTAGGTTCACAAAGGAGCCATTCATGTGATTGAAACAGTTGTTAAATCAAAAATTAAAATTAGGTTTAAATAATTATAAGAAACTAAGTATTGAATGAAAACGTAAAAAATCATTTTCCGATATATTAAAACAGGGTATTTTTTCGAATTTGAAAAGCGGTTTTCAGCTACAGCCACTTGATTGGAACTTGAATAAAACAATGGAAAAGGGACTGTTTTGGAAAACAGGAAACAGTTGGGCAAACATTTGGTGCATCGTACAAAGAAGAGTTGTGAAGATCCCAAATCCAAGTTAAAGAAACTTAAAAAAAAAAAAAGATGAATGAAAACTCATACATTCACCCCTTAGTAAAAGCGTCCAGTTACGTCACTGGTTTCCATCAAGCATGCAGATCTCATCTTCTAATTAGCGTCGCTGGCTGCGAAAGGATTTTGTACCGAGCAACGACATGCGTCGACTTCTGTTGGTTCTAGGTGGAAAGGGATGGACGTCTTTTTTTAAAGCCCCGCTAGCGAATGATAAAGCGAGAGGTTGAGTAAAATGTGGAAAAGCTGCACGGAACGCATACGACGAAGAAAGAACTAGCGGGGCGGCTCGAGACTGACATGATGTTTTGACCGGCATCGTTTACTCCGGACTCCGGGATTCCTGCTCATAACCGTTCATTCGTTCTTCTGATACGCGTCGCCGACGTCGGCTTGGAGCGCATTTTACGTCCGAAACACGGTTTTTCTCGAAAAATTTCCCATTTGCAAACATTGGAAAATTGTGAATAGAAATGTGACCTGTTCATCTGGGAGCTTGATTTGGAGTAACTCTTCAGTTGGTGTGCGACTTTTTCATCCAACGCAACTGTGAAGAGACAGAAATGTAAGTTTGAACTTTTTTTTCAGCCAGTTTATGAGGAAAATTTGCACATCTGGGACGTTTTTCCTACAGTTTCGTCGAAATCGGGAAAAACGCAATTCAAATTGCGCTTAAAATGTGTTTTTCGTGCCTGGTGGTTTTTTGCAGTTTATCGCTGACCATCGCTCGTCAATGCGAGCCAGATTCGCTTAAAACCGGGATGAAAGGGAACAATGAATCAAAAATGTCGATCCTGAAGCTTCTGGAATGTTTTTCAAATGAGCTTCTTACATTCTTCGCTTTCGTTCGATGAAAATGGTGCAGAATATCAGGCATTTTAAAAAGTTAATATTTTTGGAAAAATCGCCGCTTAAGACATTTTCGGTCAAAAATCGAAATTTTACATGCACATTTTCTGAGCTCACTAGATCGTTTTCGACCCAAAAAGGTCCATAATATGCACATTTACCGTATTTAAGTCGATCATAAGAAACATACCGTCGATTAAAGGTCGTGACAGCTCAAAAATCGCTTAAAATTGACCAAAAAATGTCGATCCTGACGCTTCTACAATGTTTTTCCATGAGCTTCTTACATTGTGCAGAATATCAGGCATTTTGAGAGAGTCAATATTTTTTGGAAAATTCGACCTCCACCCCTTATGAAATTTACGGTCAAAAGCGAAATTTTACATGCGCGTTTTTTGAGCTCAATTGATCGTTTTCGACGTAAAAAGGTCCATAATATGCTCAAAAATCGCTTAAAATGGCTTGCAAATGTCGACTTTCTCTGGCCTGAAGCTTCTAAAGTGTTTTTCGGTCAGCTTCCTGCATTTTTCGCTTCCGTTTAATAAAAATAAAGTAGAGTTTGAGGCATTTTGAAAAAATTGATAATTTTTGGAAAATTCGACTTCTACCCCTTATGAAATTTTCGGTCAAAAGCGAAATTTTACATGCGCGTTTTTTGAGCTCAATTGATCGTTTTCGACCTAAAAAGGTCCATAATATGCTCAAAAATCGCTTAAAATGGCTTGAAATACTTGATAATTTTTGAAAAARTCRACCTCTACCCCTTATGAAATTTTCAGTCAAAARCRAAATTTYMCATGCGCGTTTTTTGAGCTCAATTGATCGTTTTCGACCTAAAAATGTCCCTAATATGCAMATTTACTSTATTTMAGYCGAYWATAARAAACATATKGKCGRTTAAAWRTYGKKAATAATCSCTAAAAMRTCGCTTAAAATKAATAAAAAAATRTCGATTRTCTCRGYCTTGAAGCTTCCAGAGSTTYCTTGAAGTTTTTYATTGAGTTTCTTGCGTTTCTCGCCTCAGTTTTATGAAAATAATGTAAAATTTGAGGCCTGTTGATACTCTTGATACTTTTAAAAATAAACTGGGTTGCTCGAAAACCTGGAAGGCAGTGCCACATTTTTCATTGCAAACAAATTGCACCATGTGAGGTCTCCTTTAGACGTGTGGACYCGCTCTGTATTTTTGCCTGTAACTTTCATGCAGAGCCTTTATGGCKGTTTTTTCAGAGATATTCAGATAGTCCATTTAACTTGGAAGATTTTTTGCCTCTTGAGCTTTCGTCGAATCTGCCAGGGGTTTTGCGTAAAACATGATCAAAGGAAGCTTTAAACTCTTAAAGAGTGCGTACCATTTTGGCACGGAAATTGAGTATGTACAGTTGCAAAAAATATTTTTGTTTTATTTTATTTTCGTTTATTGTGCGTTTGCGCATTATTCAAATAAAATGCCAAGCCAGACGATCGAAAAAAAACTGTAAAGACTGAAAATTAAATGTTCGACTAAGTTCTGACAAAACAAACCTGACCCCTCGAGCATCTATTCATTTATCAAGTTCACTCATAATTTGTTAGATAAGAGACAACTTTAGAAATGATCGCTCTTCTATTAAGGCCTGTTTTTCATCCGGCAAAAAAATCGCCTTGCCTCGTTTTTGAAGCATTCGAGCTTTACTGGAAATTTAATTAGAATCTTCTCTTATTCTTTTTGCGGTTTGTTTGATTTCAATTAATTAGATTAATTAAACAGATGATTTTCCTTAGTTCATTCTAGTCCAAGGTGACAAGCTGCTGTTTTCTACTTCTGGCATTGAACTTGGCATGGTTGAAACTGTTGTGATTTGCAAAAAATCCCAGCAAAAACTTTTAAGAGAATGGCAAAAGCATTGGCATAGCTTTTTGCTTTTTGTAATTTTCCAAAGTTTCGTGAATATTTGCAGGAGTTTTGTCTGGTAGTTTTCGTCCGAACACCGTCATAATTAGAAATGAATGTAGAACCATTCGTTCCGGATTCGATTGTTTCGTAATAAAATCTCACATGCAGCCGCACTTGCAGGCTTCCTGAAAAAGACACCAGACAATGAAACGATCATTATTCATCGCTTTGCAATGGTGTTGGGACTTTCATTTATTTACAGTTGCCTGCTTATACTCTGGCTGATAATTATTTAATTTTGTTTTATTACTCAATGGCTATTTACTCTCCATATTTCGTAATTTTTGCTCACTTTTTCCAATGTTCTCCCCAAACACATTCATGAAAATGTTGTGAAACAATGGGAAGTCATTGGAAATGCGACACTCACGAACATCTGATCCATGAGTTTTGTGTTGTCTTAAGGTTGATTTCATTGTCGTACTATTTTCGTATTCACTGACCCACAGACAAACGTTGCTCAAATACCAAACACCACTTGAGGTTGATCCCTTGAACATGATTTACTGGTTAATAATACGAATTATGCAGGTAATTGATTGGTATTTGTGTCAATGCGCTGTTTACTGCTAATTATTTACAATGTTTGATATATTAGTTCGA